TTATATATTAATGTAATTATTAAATTATATAAAATATTAATTAAAATTAATTTAATTATAATAAAATAATATTTTATAAAATATTATGTAAAAAAATATTGTGAGGAAACAACACCAACACAACTTAAATCTTTGATTTTTTAAAGTTGAGAACAAGGCAAGCGAAACTTGACCTAAGTGATGCCACTTTGAAATCAAAACGTTGTCCAAGTAAAATTTCATTTCACATATGAAGCCAGGAAGGTGCTCCATACAAATTAAATTGCTAGGCATACGCAACCTAGCCTAGCTCGTTGAGATCAAACATTTCTTTATTTATTTTTGTTGACATTAACCATTAGATTGACTTTGGTAAGGGAAACTTCGTCACCCCTTTTTGTATTTCGTTTTTCTATTTTTTTTTTTCCTTCATCTTATCCATGATCTATCTACTCTTGACTTAAGGGCTAGTTAGTTACCTAATATGCCTTCTAAGATGGACAACCTTTCTAGAGGAACAGATTCCTCAAAAGCAAGTAACCAAACGGGCCTAAGCTTAGGTTGGATCCTACAAAAATTTGATCCTAAAAAAAGAAAAAAAGAAAAAAAAAAGAAGAGAGTTATTATGCAATTTTTTTAAAAAAATTCACTTATAAATACTTTAAATACTAAAAAAGAACATTTTCCTCCAATAAAATTTTAAACCTAAAGAGAAAAAAAATTCTCATAAATAATACAAAGAAAGTACCTTTGTGCATCTATCTTCTAAAACTTAGTTTAAGAGTGTTAGCACGTAAATGCAATTGTTGATTTTTTAAATTTTATAATACTCTTAAAATATATAAAATACATTTGTTATTTATTTTAATTAATATTTTATATATTTTTAAAATATTAAAAAATATAAAAATTAAAAATTAAAGTATCAAAATTTAAATACAGCAGTGAAGTTGCTAAAGCCGGGAATTCACGTTTTGGGCTTCTGGGTAGGCTATCTCCAATGACCAAAATGGCCCTCCCTTTCTATGTAAAACACGGAAGATAATTTCTGGCCCACAAAGAATATCATTCCTTGGATGATGGATTTTAGAAGAAACTAGCATCCAACCCCATTCCTTTTTCCCCTTCCCCGGTCAAGTCTAAGCCTCCTATTGAGTGACTTACAAGCTAACTTCTGCACGCCGAATACAAATTAATTAGGCAATTGGAATCCAACTGAATTGTTAGACTAACCATTCTTACAAGAACATAATCAGGCAATTGGCATCCACCTGAATTGTTAGACTAACTAGTATACAATTAATTACATTGGCAACTCATCAGCTACTCCAATAAAATCTAGCACAAAACATGTCGTATTCAGGATATCATGACCCATTAAACCCCCTCTAGAGACTCTTGATCATTCTTACAAAAGTAAAACGTGGCCCCAATCTGAGTTGCTAGACTAACTAGAGTACAATTACATTGGCAACATCGGCAGCCCTTCCAATAAATACATCACATATTCAGTATATCATGAACCATTAAACCCCAACGACAACAACATGCTTAACCATTCTCACAACAGTACGCTGAGGCAACCCATCCATGCTTCAAGACTAACTAGAGTACAAATACAAAAAAGTTAGTATATTAGCCAAGGGCCTAAACTAATACAAAGCAAACACCGGTAAAATTGTATGTGACAATATGCAGTCCACTGGATATAATGTTAAAGGCCAGTCATCGTAATAGCAAACGAAACCAACGCAACTATAAAGTTACTCATCAAATAATATCAGCATATCATCTCTTGAAGTCTTTAACTTTTGCACCACTATCTCAATAGATATATCAACTGACATCCAAGGAAAACCTTCAAGATGTAACATCTTGACATCAATGCTGAATCATGTAGTAATCATGTTAAATTGGAATCTAGAAAGCTGCTGAGGAATGGTTGAAATGACCGGTCCATATCTCTGTTTCATGATTAAAGTATGTTAGGATTAATTGGAGTAAATAAAAGTGAGAGGAGAAGAAAAGAACAAGCAGGTAATCTCAGATAGTGAAGAATGGACAAGAGGACATCTGGGCACCTGAACATTATCATAGAGTTCAAACAATGGAACAGCAAGAAGTTTCAAATTTTTAGGTACTGCAAAGTACTCTCTCTCAGACAAGTGAACTAAGAAAAGCTTCTTACATTCCTGCAACATAAAAAGTAGGGAGGAGAAAAACCATAAGCATAGCCTCTAATAATAACAACATTCTAAACATAAAGAGTAGAGGACAATGGAAATTTTACGTAATTTAGGGTCTCAAAATGTTTGCTACCTTTGGCTTTGTTATATGGGGAGGACAATATGGATACATGATGGTTTCAAAGTTGGGCCTCCACCAAATGGCAACACATTCACCAATCTGCAACAAACCGCAACAATATTAAGCATCAAAAGGAATCAATAATTGTTCTATACTGCAAACTCAAACCAAAAGTGAACTGAACAGCAGGCCTCTAAATAATGTATTTCATTGGTTAAAACATACAAAAGCCACACCCAAATAAAAGAAGAGTTTTCTAACATCACAGACAGGCATTCAATGTGAGACAGGGAATCAGACCTGCCAATCTGGCACAAGAGCAGGTGAATTAGCTCCAAGCTTGCTGGTCAGCTTCCTTTTTAGGCCCTCAATTTCTGAAGCAAAAATATAAAGAAATGGAGTTACAACCACCAGAAAATTTCCAAAATAGCAAAGGCAACTAAGTGAGGTGAACAAAAAGACATATCATGGAATAAAAGGAAAGTAAGATCATACCATTCTCCCCTGGCTTCAAACGCCCACCAGGGAGTTTGCAGAACGTATTACCTATTTGGAGGAGAAGAATGTGAGGATGATTATGTTCCTGAACCTGCAAGACAAAATGATTTTATGACCCCAGGTAATAAACAAACTCAATAGGAATTTTACCTAACTAATAAACTTCATATGAAAAAAGGAGGGAGAAGCAAACTAAAACGCAAACTAAAATGCAAGCTCATTGTGACAAAAGACAAGCAATATGATAACATATAAACAAACAGAATTATCAATATAACACACCAAATTAAAAACAAAGGAATTGCATCTAACAGAGAGCTCCAATTCACTAATTGGGTTTACTTGTCATTTGTCTTTGGATTGGATATAATGTGACAGTGCTTGAATTTCTAAAAAGGTACAAACAACAGTTATAAAATACACTAGATTCTCTAATATTACCGCATCCAAATGATTTGATAGGCTGGTGCTACCTAAGTTGTGCAAACAAAGTAACAAACTCTCAATCTAAGCAACATACCAGTAAAATTGCTTCAACGCTTGTCCTCATTCCTTCTTTCATGTAGCTGCACTCGCAATCACAGGTAAGGGCTATCATTAAGAACATTTATGAAGGAAGCATGACAAAAAAATTCAATATCATAATTTTGTTATAAATTTATTTCAACCCACAATTGAAACCTTAAAGAACAGCTTTAGCTTACACATCAAAATTTTGTTTCCAAGTTTCACCAAAAACTAGAAATTTGAGAAGACAAATCAATATCAACAAAGTACAGTACAGTTCACATATAAACAAGAGAAATGGCATATTTTCACTCGAATTCACTAATCAATTAAGGAGGGAAGACCAGTTCAGATGTCTATTTCTTTCTCATCAAAAGAGGGAATTTGGGAAATGCTAAAAACACTTTCCTTGAGCTAACAACAGAAACATAATCCAAATACTCAGCTGGAAGGTGTTAATTTTTATTTTTTTTATTTTTTATTTTTTTTACGAAAAATTCATTATCATAATCAAATTCCTAAAAGTGGGTTTATGAAAAAAAATTTAATTGCATTGAACAGGTTAGGGTTTGGTTTAAGTATATTCAAAACACTAATGATCCAGAATCAGCTTCAATAATTCTCATCAAAAGGAAAGTAACAATGACAACATAAAAATATCTGTGCTTTATACTCTTCTCCGCTTTCTCCAGACCCAAAAGACGAATAGAGGTTTATCTAGGGTTTTTCAATTCCTTCAAAAAAAAAAATAATAATAATAATAATAAAAAGGATGATTTCTTGAACAATAAAAGAAATCGAGAGGGAATAATAAACTTACTTGACTTTCATTCGAGCAAGGCGATCAGCAACGGAGGTATCCTTCTCCATCTTCGGCTCTTTGGTGCCGAAGGTGTAGCTCGAAAGCGGGTAAGTGTTCACCACCGAAGACGTTACCATCTCTCTCTATTGTTCTCTCTGCAACTCTATGAACTTGCTCCGACAAATGCCGGTAGCCGACGCAGTCCTTCCTCCCGCGGCGGAACTATCTCCAGAATCCTCAGTTGAGAGGAAAGGCGAAGATGCAAGGAAGGAGGCAAGCAGACAGGTTTAAACCGGGGTAAACGGTGCGTATCGGCGTCTGCATGCTCTTTGTCTTTATAAAAATGAGATACTTCAGAGTCACGGCTTTGTTAGGGATGTGTCTCACAGCCACATTAACGTGTTGCCCTTTGTCATTTTTATTTTTCCATTTTATTTTAAAAGACTTTTTTTTTTTGCTCCCTATTTTAAAGGACTCTTAATTTCAATGGTTTTTTTTTTATACAATTCTTTCTCATCATTTTACTCACTTTATTCAAATATCATGTAATTTAAATTTAAAATTTTTTATTTCACTTAAAAAAGAGATTATTATTAATTTTTTTTTTTATGTTACTTATACAACAAGAAGTAATCATTTCTCATATTTTATTTCATCCTATTTGCATATCATGTAACTCAAACTTAAAATCTTTTATTTTCAACAAAAAAAAATTATCATTAAGTTTTAAGTTCGTTGGCAATTATTTCAGTTATTAGTTATATAACTTCTTAATTAGTTCATTCACTACATAACTCTTTAATTTCCAGCTAACTGTTAAGCACTTAGGCTAAAATCAACCTAGACAGCCTTTTTAGCGTATGACAAAACTTTCTTAATTTCCAGGAAGTAGAATTTAGGTTTAGGCTCCCTGAATTAAGATATTTTATTTTAACGTGGATGCCTTTTAAGTTTTAATTTACAATCTCTATTTTATGGACAAAAAATCTTGACAAGTCCTAAAAGCTGTCCTACTAGTTGACTGAATAGCACTGTAATTGACCAGTACCAAGTATTAAGGTCCTCAAACTCAAACTCACTTCTAGCTTTATCAAGCATACCAAAACTGAACTCGCGAGCTTGACTAGGTATAGAAAACGCACGATGAACATGTTAAGAAATGATAAAGAAAAACAGGAAAATAAGAAAATTTTAAGGCATAATGTCACATTTTTAAAGGATTCAAAAAACTTTTAAAATACAATAAAATTTAAAAATTATGTGTAAAACATGAACTTTATTAAAAATTTACACTAAGAAAACTCAAAACTCATAAGTCTTGAGTTCTAACTTTCCATAATTACTTACGGATAAAAGATAAACATATATAAATCTTTTTATTTTCTTATTATTCCTGGATGTGGGATTTTTATTTTTCAAACTATTTAACAGAAAATAAGCAAATCATGAGTTTCTCTATATTATTGATCTATCTATGTATCTTCTTCTTCTTCTTTTTCACCTAATAAGTAATTTTTCACAAATTTTGAGTGTGAAAACTAAAAGACTTAAAATGAATCACTAAGAACAACTGAACTAGTTAAATCAATTAAAAACAAGAGCAAACAGATCTATTTAATTGAAAACAGGACAATTGATTTTTAACCTCCGACATAAAAATAGCCTGATTCCATCTCTATATCCTTCTTCCAAACCTGCACGGGGACCTCTACCATATATTGGATTGGTGGACAGATAAATGAAACATTAATCTGCACCACGACATATATCAATGCAATATTACCTCTCCAGTCAGAACAGATATAAATGCATTAAAAATTTCGAATGATAATTCCCAAACAAAGAGAACAAATCAAAACAAACTTTTTGTTTGCAGTAAGTGGTGTGGTTGTAGATTTTTTTTTTCTTTCATCATTATTTTAAAATATATAAAATATTAATTAAAATTCATAAAAATATAAAAAATTAATGAAAATTAATTAAGAACTATGAATTTGTATTTTAGTATAAGGTTATCTGTTAAAAAAATTTGTGCCAAACATTGTAAAACGAAGCCAAAATCTCTACTTTTTGGCAAATAATTCAAAACTGTCTTCATGCTTCAAATTTGAGAAATAAGAGGTTATATCTCGTTATATAATGTATTTTTAATGCATTGATTATTGTTAGATATTTATAATTAATGTGTTTTTAAATTAATTTTTGTACATTAATTTTAAAGTTAATTTTTTTAAATTAAGCTTTAAAGTGCACCCCTTATATTAATTTATTATATTTAAAAAAATTAATTTTTTAAATATTAATCTTAATATTTAAATTATAAATTTAACTTAGAACACGAAATTTGTTGAACTGTGAATTTAACCATTAGAATTTTAATTCTAACGCATTGTTTCTCTCTCACCATTTCTGCAATAAAATTTTCTTTTCTTTTTATTTTTTATTTTTTGTTGTGTTCCAATTATAGAAAAAGTAAGTAATCAATGTTGAAAACAAGAACTTGCTACTTCCAAATTAGAGAATTCATTAAAGATTTTAAGGACAAAAGCTTGTCATTGTTCCCTATAATGACGGTGCGGAAGGCTTCTGCTTTCCTACGAAAACTTGCAGTACCCCATTCGAGTCCCCGGCGACGAGCGTGCACTCATCATCCGCCACCTGCCTCCAGCACACACTACTGACGAACCCACTGCAGCTCGCTGGCTCGAACCCGTGTGCCCATATCGGCTTGCCCCATCTCTTGTCATAAACAAACACCTGGTTATTCTCCGATCCACACCCGAGCAACCCGCCGTGTCTCCACACCGATAACCCCACGAAGCTCCGATTATTCACGTGTCCTTTGTACCTGCGAACCGCGCACGAAGAGTCGTTTATATTCCACAGCTTTAACCACCCATCGGTCCCGGCGGATACCACGGTGTTGGAATCTAGGAATTTAAGGTACGTCACGGCTTTTTTGTGCCCATTAAATACGACTACCGGGCCCTCCATGTTCCTCACATCGTAACCGCAAGCCTTCCCGTCGGCGCATCCGGCGGCTACCAACGGCCCACCGAATGGATTGAACTCCACGCAACACACCGGGCTGCGCGCCGTGCTGGGTTGGGTTACAGCCACACATCTTCCTCCATCGCCGCCGCATCTCGGGTCCCATATTTGCATGGTGCCGTCGTCCGACCCGGATGCACCGACTACCGGATCCCAATGCGTGTAGTCCACGCTCCAAACCCGTCTTCCGCCATGCTCGTCACGTTCAAAGATCGGAACTTTTCTTTCCAAATCATACTCCATCACTACCCCATCATAGTCGCCGGATCCGATCACCCCCCCGCCAGACCGGGGCTTCCATCTAAGACTACCGAGCTTCGCCGGCGTGCATATGCAATAGCTACAGACATTAGAATGGTCTAAAAACAGAGCTGTAGCATCATTCTCACCTTCGCTCATCCTCTTCGGTGGTACCAATGAATTCAGAGTATAAATCCTAATTTTTCTGGCGATTCCTCCGGTGGCTATGAGTGTATTGGAGGGGTCGAATTCGATGACGCCGAGGGCATCAGAGACCACTCCAGTGGTGGTTCTGGAGGAGACAACAGTAGAGAGAGAAAGATCCCACGCGCAACAGGCCTCTTCTTCCTTTTCTTCGTCTCGTTTATCTTCTTCTTCAAGATGAGGTTGTTCATGGTCCATTCGGATTAAGGAAGGCGAGGGGTTGGTTGATCCATTCAGATTAGGAAGGCGAGGGGGTTGGTTTTAGAGGGTTTTAGAGTAGCAGACCATTGAAAGGCTCACATCAACTCATGCAACAAAGTTGGTACCGATAAAATACAGTTAAATAATATCATTTTTATTTTATTATTTATATGGAAAAATGATTTATGAATCTAATGGACTCTTATATTTGCAATTGATTGTTTTTACTTAACCTGGTTGTTAATTTCGATATATATTTATTTAATATTATAAAAATTTATTTTCATAATCTAAATAATTTAATAAAATTTTTTTTAATAAAAATAAGAGTGAATTTTAACTTTAAATTACATAACATATAAATTATATGAGTTAAGAGATGAAAAAATATTTTTTATTTTATAATTTAATATAAAAAATCTTATAAAA